TAAAAAGTTGAACCAATGATAGTTTGCCATTTGGACATAATTAATTAAAAAGTTGAACCAATGATAGTTTGCCATTTGGAAGAAACTCATGCTCTTGAGTCTCCGTGTGCTGATAGTGTGCAACTTTCTCTGCTTAAATTACCAAAATAACCCTAGTCCTTATGTATACATTCGGCAATAACAGTACCAACAATCTAACATCAAGAACACTTTCGGAAATTAAATGGCACAAGAACAAACAAGATCTTCTAATTTCACTCACTTGTATTAGTAGTTTTGTTGAAATTCATACTTTATATGATCTGAAATTTCCAATCTTTGTGGTGAAATTCTTCTTATTGATGTAAAAAGGGTACATATGATTCATGGAGAAGTAAGCAAATGAGAAAGCTTTTTTTTGTTGTTGTGTTTTTACATTCCACAATATGTTTTGAGAGCAGATTGAGATCTTTGTCCAGCTTCTGTGTAGTAGAATTGAAGGAATTCTACATGATCAAATGGCTTAAACAGTCTTGGATGCTCTTCGTCAACGAGCTCGTTTGGCGAATTCACGATATGTCCTGCTTTCGGAATCGAGAACAATCCGAGTGAATATCTTGTCTCTGTTCCTGTCATCATCACACGGTGATAAGGAGAGTGTATTCGACCATTCATCAATGCCTGTGACATAAAAAATACATTGAGTTGGTTCTTGTTCTCAAACCAAAGACTCTGTTTTCGAAAGAGTTACTTACATGGAGAGAATCCCCGATCATGACGATGAATGAATCTTGAGAAGGCTTCACTTTGATCCAATTGTTGTCTTTGGTTTGTACTTCTAGACCTTCAACATTGTTTTGGTAAAGTATAGTGACGATGTTTTTATCGGTATGAGCATTTAGTCCCAACTTTGTCTCCTCTGTTTCAAGTCCTTTGTACTTCATTACCCTTAAGAGGTAATTCGTCGAGTCAAGATGTTCATCGATATATTTCACGAGCCCGAAGCTCTCCATGATCATTCTTCTTATAGTTATGTCTAGCTCTGATAACTTCTCGGAAAACGAATGGATCGTTGTGCTAGTAGTAACACAAAGTCTAATCAAAATATGTCGAAATAATCGAAATAAGGATAGAAAGTTTACTACTACTGACCTGAAACTCTTGTTGCCTTGAGGCCATAGATTTTTAGTAAATGCGTCGACTTTAGCTGCAACATCAGAATCATCAATGCCCATGCTCTCGTATAATGGTACCGTTGGATATTGACCCACGTAACCATGGAACGGTTTCTTGGACACGTTTCTCAGTTTTGTATGTAAAGGTAAGTCGAAAAGCTCTTCCAACGCCCCGAAAATCGATTTTCGTAGGTCGATAGGGATTTTATCGAAAGAGGCCTCAAAACAACCATAGTCTTGTAGAGCTATTTTGACATCAGCTTTGGTTAAGTCCCATTCGGGCTCTCCCGGTTTCAGGTTTTGTTTCGAGAAATCGATGATTGGGAGGTGAAGAGGAGTTTCAGAACCCATTTAGTGAGATGGGGAAGATAGATATGGAGTTACTGAATTGAAATGTTACAAGCCATTTATATATGTCTTGAGTCCAGCCTTAAGGAATCTATATTTCCATGATTCTTTGCACAAGATGTCAAATTCCTCTATGAAGCTACGAACTTAAGGTAAGATATGTATATAAAATTATTATGTCTGTTTCTTCTAGAGAGTGAATATTATGACCCTGCAGTCAACTATTCCAGAGATAGTTGAAGACAAAACATCACTATTAGCATAATTAAAGTCATGTCTTATTCCTGAAGATAATGTAGTTATGGGTGAAGATTATAAGCACTTTGTAGGTTCAAATAAATGAATGCATATTTTCCTTATGATCATCTCATACAATTAAAAGGAAAATATTTCTACATACAATTAATTCAACCCCTCTAAGGAAAATATTAATTCAACCCCTCTAAACTCTTATATATCATCTTAAACTAGTATCTTTATATATGAATTTGATTTTGTTTTAATCCAGATCATTCTATGTAATTTCCCCGAAGAGGAATTTATTTGATCATATAAATGTGTTAGTCAAGCAAATTAAACAAACTAATCAATGAAGAAGAAACATATCATCTTCTTTATTCTGTTAAATTTCGGATATGCAGAATTACAGATTTCCATAATTATTCAAATATATGCACTAAGTTTTAATAGAAGACTTTATAAAAAAAAGGGTTTTAATAGAAGAAAAAAAATTCAAAAGATCATCATGTTTAAAGAGATAATTTTGAATTTAAACTAACTAAAAAATAAAATGTATTAAATTACTTAAAGTTTATTCAACAATCGGAAAAGAAAATGAAAAGGGGAGATTTCTAAATTAGACCTCCTACAATTGAAAGTTATAAATTTTTCAACCCGAGTCTGATCCATGATCTAGAGGAATCAAATCAGAATATATTTGCACAAATTAGTTACATCCCAAACATAAAAGTTTAAATAACTACTTAATTATAGTAAGGGCTATAAACCTTATGCATGTTGTTCTTTAAAAAGAAAAACGTTATGCACATGGGATAATTTAAAATCACATGCACTGAGATCTGCATGGGGAAATACATAATGAGCAAAAAAAGCATAGAGACCGAAATGGTGTCATGCTTTAAAACCATACTCCACGGTTAGGGCATGTTTATCAATGATACATTAAAAGTATCATAAGCTCAAATATATTAATAAATATAATGTAAGTGTAGTTAAAGAGTCTCATTAAGATTAGGAAAAAATTGAGGTGTTTATTGGTGAAACTTTGTAGAGTTCTTAAAAA